AAAAAAAAAAAAAAAAAACTTTGATAAGGACTTATAGACCACTATATAAACTGGGACATTACATACTATTTCATACTACAAATTCCTTAAAACATTTACTATATTCCTTTATACTATTATTGTATTTTATTTTACTAATATGGCCAATTTTAACAAGTCTATTTTCATGTATGTTTTCTTGGCCATTATGATTTTATTTCTATCGATGTCTGCCGGCCAAGATTCTGCACTGGCACCTTTGCCGGAGATGGATGCCGGAAGTGGCTTTCAGCTTCCAGTTTATTATACTCTTATTTTTTCTCCAATTTTATTTTGCTGCTTTGCCATTATGTTTTAAGGATTTGAGATCATTGCAATTGTGTGTATTGAATGCATATAGGCAACATCCAGTGATTGATTGAGTGCTCATGGAGTGATATGGAGAGACCGAGGTATGTAATGTACATTTTTTTTTTTTTTTTTTTTTTCTATTTGATGAATGATATAATACAATGATTTTATTTGGTTTTTTGAAGTCATTAATTGTGAAATTCTGTTAATATCAATGTCCACCTACAATATGCATGTAAATTACAAATGTATGAATGTGAATATGTTGGGTGATAATATTAGATTTGAAATGCCTGCTAACATTTGAAATGTATGAATGTGAATTTTGTTGGGTGATAATATAACAACACTAAAATGCCTGCTAACATTTGAAATGAGTTAGATTAGAAATGAAGAAAGGCAAGATAATGAGTTTATAATTGGTAAAGAAGAAAAGTATGATAAATTCTGCTTCTATGTTTTTAGCACAGTTTTTAGGGCAATAATATCATCAAAATGCCTAATTTCAAAACAAAGCAGATGCAGTCAACTGCCTGTGATAGCCACATCAAAATGCCTAATTTTCCAGATATCGAAATACAAAGTAGTAGTAATTCTTGGGTACACGAAACTAACATACTTATCAAAGTAGAATAAAGTGAGATGTAACAAGAAAAACGATACAATACAGCAACCAAAGAGAGAGTAGTTCCAAAACAAAGAGTTGAATGAAGCTTAACTCCACAGAAAGCCTCTGCAAGATTCAGTCCATTTTAACTAACTGCCTGTAAATGTAATAATGAAGCTTAAGTCCACAGCGTCAACGTAACCATTAGAGAGAGAAGGAAAGCAGGGATATCATACGTAAGGCTCATTCATAATCAACACGAATCTTATGTAACAAACTTGTAAAAACCACGAGAACTGAAAAATTTAGGAGAGAGAGAGAGAGAGAGAGAGAGAAATGTATAAAGCAAAAATCTCATATCCAAGTTAAAGAGAGTGATTCCTTCTAGTTGCAACACTCGAAATTCGGAGAAAACCTAAATTCGCAGAAAGCCCAACGGCTAAACAGTAATTGTAGATAGCTGTTTTAAATATACCAGTGTAGGAAAATGATTAAAACCAATAAACAGTAATTGTAGATAGCTGTTTTAAATATACCAGTGTAGGAAAATGATTCCATGTTTTAAATACCGGTTCGTACCGGCCGATATTACCGGTAATACCGGATACCGGTGGTCCGACCGGTACATTTACACTCAAAATACCGTTTTGGCCAAAATACCGGTTTCGTACCGGAAAATACCGGTTTTACCGGCAAATACCGGCCAAAATACCGGTCAAAATACCGGTTTATGCCATTTTTTTTAAAAAAAAAAAAATATTTTTAATAGATGTTATTATTTTATTTATATAAATTGAAATTTCTACACTTAACTTTAATATGTTTATATTGTTATTAGATGTTAATTTATTTTAATATTAATTAAAGTTAGTTTTGTATATTATTTATATAATAATAACAAATTAATTTAATATTTATTAAAACCGGTAAAATAAACGGTAATACCGGTCGTACCGGTAATACCGCATACCGGTCGCTACACCGGTATGACGACCGGTACGGATTTTAAAACATTGAAATGATTAAAACCAATCTTCTTTATATTCTGTAACTGTAGCAAAGCCTATATTATCTTATCTGTGCTATGTGTACTCTCAGAGCAACCAATTTTTAGCTAAGATCAAAATAGTGAAAATACCCAATCATCTCTTGAAAGCTTAGCTGCTGTCAGCATAGAATTCGCATTCGCATTTCCCTCAAATGAGGAAGAGAATTCTCATCAAACACTTCGTACATCGGACAAAAACGGCATATTCACACCAAGTAATTTCCAGTTCATATAATTCACAAAATTGCTCTTACCCCCAGCACAAATCAGATCAAATAACTTTATTGAGACAATTCATCAAACACTTATACATGCTATCCAAAAACCCCTGACTGAACCAACATAACCCACATAAAATTACCTTTCAAGAAACACATAAATTCAGAAAATCTCTCGAAGAAACGCAAATCAAAGGGAACAAAAAGAGTGCATTATTCAATCTCAAGTACCTCTTTTTTTCAGCATCACTTGCCAGTATTCATCATCAGAGTTATATTGTCCCCTTTCAACAAAATCCTCCCGAGCTGTTTTCTGCTGTTCTTCTTTACGTTGACCTCCTCGGCGTCGTCCAGAACCAAATTCATGTACTCGTCGAACCCAATAATGCGGCCTTCGATCCTCAGATCCTTCTGCTCGAAAAGCCATATCTGAATTCGAGCTTTGCTCTGAAGGAACCTGAAGATCAGGTTAATGGGCTGGGTCATAATCCGCTGGACTTTCGTGCTCGCCATGGCTGCCGCTTGTTGAATCTGCTCAGAAAATTTCTTGGCGCTCCTTGGTTTTTTTTCTTTTCTCGCTCAAAACCCTAGCAGGGGTTTTTGCTGGAGCTTTAGCTGAAGGCGGGTTTTGGAGTCGCAGAGCCAACAATGGAGAACGTGTTGGACATAAATGGGCTTCAAAGGTCTAAAGTTGAAGTCATGACTTTATTGGGCTTCCGGGTGAAGTTTATGGGTTCAAGTCACGACTTAATTGGGCTTGCGGATGAAGTTTATGGGTTTTTGGTGATATAGCCATAGCCCATAGCTAGACTAAATGGAAGTTATGTACGTGAAACAGGTCAGACGGGCTTAATTATTAGATAGGTCACTTGTACAATGCTGCAGGTCGTTCAAAGACATAATGATTACTAAAAATCGGCCATGGTGGCGCTTTGGCGCTAACCACTAACTCCGATTTGCATAAATCGGCTGAAAAAATTGGTCATTCGGCTTGGCAACGCCTAGGCAGGCCTAGGTGGACATAGGCACTTGGGTGGAGTCGACAGTAATTTTTTATTTTTTTCAAATACTTTATTATATTATTTTGTTATCATATTTCTTTTATAATATATTAATATTACTATTTGAACTTAGGTGTGTTGATTTATTATATATTGTATCTGTAAGACTTCCATGGCCTAACACGGAACATGACGGCAAACTAACAAAGAGACCAGGACAATCGTTGCAAAAAGGAGATGCTCCATCGCCGCATAACTCCTATGAAATAATGAAACAACCAGCTTCTTCTCTCGTGAGATTTGTTGGAGGAAGAGAGAGACTTCATATTAACTTCTCTGGCCTCAACCACTGGAATTTACATGTTACGAGGGTGGAAGAAGCCCTTTGGAAAGCCTTAAGTGGGAAGGGAAGGAAAGCTAAACATCGGGGTTAATTGGCTAGCTGTCAATATTCAATGTGCGGTAAGGTAAAGCAGTGTCAGCGGGCAGCAACATTACGCGTTGTTGTTCGGGAAAGAGAGGGTAGTTAGTGGTGGTTAGTTAAGAGTAGGCAGCTCCAGGAGGTCTATCGATAGGGATTTGGCGTAAGGAGATTTTTTATTTTGTAAATAGTGAATAAATAAAAAATAAACTATTTAATCTTGATTTTTAGGCCCCACCTAGGCGCTCTAGGTGCTAGACGCATGTCGAGTTAAGAACCATGGAGCAAGATAGTTAAAGGGATATGATGATAATCAACTAAGGCATTTACTCGACGTCATAATGGTTGATTTAGATAAGATAAAGCCAAATAGAACATACCTAGCCTGAATACCTATCAACACTCAACATGACGACTTGTAGAACTGAGACCTACATGAATCTAACCCAACAACCTAAGTTAAAAACTTTTGGGCATGGAGACATGAGTAAGCACAAACCTAATCAATAGAAGGAGGAATTTAATCAGGATAACGAGAAATCTAATTAGGATAGAAATTAACACAAAGCAGATAGAGATTAACTTCGCGCAGTTGGGAAGCTCCGAGCAGAGTGACCGAGGGCAATTAGGCAGCCCGGGCAGCTAATCTTGGGCACCGTGGTATTCTTCTACAAAAGGAGATAATATACAACCGTAATGCTCACTCTACACATTCAAATTTTTGTAGATACATTCATTGTTTTTTTCTCCTTTCTGATTACT